ACTTGATACTGTTTTAAATGTATGGGTTGGAAATAAAAACTGAAAGCTCTCTAAACCCATCTAGTGTGGGTAGATGGCAAAACAGTTTAAATGTTGTATCAGTGAAAAGCGATTATATTTTATTTTAGAGAAATGCTCTGAAATCTCATGGTGCTAAGTGGTCTCTGCTTGGTTTCAGTTCTTTTCAACTTCCACACTAATTGTGTCTGAGAGCTTCTGCTCCTCAGATTGGTTCCTTCTTCAATGTTAAACCAACCCTGTTCATTCATTCCATATATATTTATCAGGCACCTGGTATGTGTGTCTGACACTGTCCTAGGTGCTTGGAATAAAATGTATCAGACATCCCTTTCCTTGTGGCATTTATGTTTTTGTCGGGTAAGAAAGTCCATAAACACAATACCTGTCTGCGTGGAGCTTGCAGAGAAGCCAGGGCTATGGGAGAGCTGTAGGTGGGCCTCTGGGAGGGAGACATTTGAGTAGTAACTTGGGGTCAGCCATTGGGAAGAGGGAACTGATCAAAACAGGAAGCAGCTAAATACAAATGCTCTGGCAACTATTGTTAGAACAGGCTGTATACAGGCATTTCTGAGTTGTGTGAATATGGACTAGGCATTTGTTGACATTTAGGGATTTTTAAAAAAATATATATTTTATTGATTTTTCACAGAGAGGAAGAGAGAGGGATAGAGAGTTAGAAACATCAATGAGAGAGAATCATCAATCAGCTGCCTCCTGCACACCCTCCACCGGGGATGTGCCCGCAACCAAGGTACATGCCCTTGCTCGGAATCGAACCCAGGACCTTTCAGTCCACAGGCCGACGCTCTATCCACTGAGCCAAACCGGTCCCGGCAAGGGATTTTTATATGGCATTTTATGTGTGTGTTACACACATACACACACACACACACACACACTGAGTGGCCAGATTATTATGATCTCTGAATGCATAATAATCTGACCTCTCAGTGTATCCTATATAATAAAACCCTAAAGTGCAAATCAACCAAACAGCAGAATGACTGGTCACTGTAATGCACACTGACCACCAAGGGGCAGTTGCTTAACATAGGAGATGCTCCCTGGTGGTCAGTGCGCTCCCACAGGGGGAGTGCTGCTTATCGAGAAGCCTGACTCATGGCAGGGAGCAGGCCTAAGCCAGCAGATGGATATTCCCTGAAGGGTCCCGGACTACAAGAAGGCTCGGGCTGGGCTGAGGGAACTACCCCCCTCCCCTGTGCACAAATGTTGTGCACCGAGCCTCTAGTATCCTATATAATAAAAGGCAAATTGTCCCCTCAACCAGGAGTTGCCAACCGCCCATGTCCCCTCCCCCTGGCCAGGCTGACCAGACCCTGCCCATGCACAAATTCATTTACTGGGCCTCTAAAATATATATAAATACATGCACACACCTGAGTGGCCAGATTATTATGCATTCAGAGATCATAATAATCTGGCTTCTGTGTGTGTGTGTGTGTGTCTGTGTGTGTGAAGGGAAGGGAGAGGGAGAGAGAGACAGAAGCATCCATGATGAGAAAGAACCATTGATCGGCTGCCTCCTGCAGACCCCTTACAGGGGATGGAGCCTGCAATCTGGGCATGTGCCCTGACTGGGAATTGAACCATGACCTCCTGGTTAAGACCTTCTGATGCTTAACCACAGAGCCACTCCAGCTGGGTCAAAGTATATTTTCAAAGGTCCTTTTTAATTTGGGTTGTAAATTGTAGAATTGATTGTTAAAACGATTAAGTGTATGGGATTCTCTTTAAAACATAAATACAAAAAAGAAAACCCAGGTGGAAGGGTGCCTGGTGTATTGGAGTTATGGCCAGGAGCAGGATAAACAACTGGCCAGTGGGTATGCCTCAAAATACAGGAGAGACTCGAGCTTCATTCTTTTATTATTAAAAAAATTTTTTTTTTCTTTAATTGATTTTTAGAGCACGAGAAAGATAGAAACATCGAGGAGAGAGAACATCAGTTGGTTGCCTCCTACACGCCCCACTACTGGGGATCGAGCTCGAATCCTGACATGTGCCGGGAATGGGAATAGTCTGTGACCTTTTGGTGCATGGCTTATGCTCAACCACTGAGCCATACTGTCTGAGCTCAAGCTTCATTCTAAGTGAATGCAGGACCTCCAAAGGGTTTCAAGCTGAGGATTGAAAGCAGGGCGTCTAGTTTGCTGGCCTCCATCATAGCAGAGAGGATGGTGTGAGAACTGATTGGACCCAGTTATGTTTGATGACATAATCAACAGGATTTCCAGATGGACTGGATAGTGGGATAGTCAGATTAAGATGGCAATTCCACATTTTAATCTGAGCAGCTAGTAGACTATAGCTGTGCCATGATCTAAGATGGGGAAAGCCATGGTGGAGCATGATGACCTTAAAACTTCTTGCATATTGCATTCTACCCATGATGCAATGTGTGTACTGTAATAACAGATTAAGATAACCTTCCTCACCCTAGCCAGTGTGGCTTAGTAGGTTGGGCACTGTCCCATGCACCAAAAGGTTGCTGGTTCAGTTCCTGGTCAGGACACATGCCAGGTTGCAGGCTCGATCCCTGATGGGGGAGGTTTACAGGAGACAGCTGATCATGTTTCACTCTCACATTATTGTTTCTTTCTCCCCCCCTTCCCCCCAAAAAAATCTCCCCCCCCCCAAAAAAAATCAATAAAATAAAAAAAAGATGACCTTTCTCCTTGCCAGTTAACCCTCCAGGAAATGTTGAGTGTCTTATGGTCTCATAGTATAGAATACTTGGATCTTGTTGAAAATCACTTATCTACGAGTGCATGGGTATATTCTGGTTGCCCATCTACATGTCTGTCTTTATGTCCATATTACAGACTTGTTTATTCTAGTGTTAAGTTCAGATAGGATAAGCCCTCCAAATTTGTTCCTCTTTTTCAATGTTGTTTTCACTATTCCAGGTCCTGTGTATTTTCATATAAATTTTAGAATCAGCTTGTTTTTTTCTATATTTTTAAAAATATATATTTTATTGATTTTTTTACAGAGAGGAAGAGAAAGGGGTAGAGAGTTAGAAACATCGATGAGAGAGAATCATCTATTAGCTGCCTCTTGTACACCTCCTACTGGGGATGTGCCTGCAACCAAGGTACATGCACATGCCCTTGACCGGAATCGAACTCGGGACCTTTCAGTCCGCAGGCCGACACTCTATCCACTGAGCCAAACTGGTTTCAGCAGCTTGTTTTTTCTATAAAACATGATAGGAATTTTTTATTGGGGTAGAGTTGAATCTGTGGTCCAATTTGGTAGGGAGAATTGATACCTCTGACCCACAGACAAGACCTATTTATTTAGTTTTTCTTTTATTTTTCTAAAGGATGCATTGTTATAGTTTTCAGTTTGTAGGTCTTGCACATTTAAAAAATTGAATTTATCCTTAACTACTTTACATTTATTGTGGTGTAAATGGATTTTTTTTTTTAAAAGCTTTGCGTTTATTCATTGCGTTTATTTCATGTAGAAATACCCTTAATTTTGAATTTTTATTGATTTTGAATAGGAAAGGAGAGGGAGAGAGAGATAGAAACATCAATGATGAGAGAATCTTTGATCAACTGGGGATTGAGCCTGCAACCTAGGCATGTGCCTGGCCAGGAATCGAACCATGACCTCCTGTTTCATAAGTTGATGCTCAACCACTAAGCCGTGCTGGCCAGGCAGTACTGTTGACTTTTGTGTATTGACCTTGATCCTGAAGAGAGCAGGGGCCTGGAAAGCCCATGGTCCCTATTTCTGAGGCTTCCCTCTCCATGGCAGAGAGGGGCCATTGCTTGCGTGGTATGAAAGAACTAGGATTAACTGTATCCACTGTGTTTCCTGCCCTAGACCTTTCTGAGGAGGACACTGTGTGCTCCTTGATGCCCAAATATCACTGATATTTGCTTATTTTACAAGTTCTCCTTTGGGAGTGTTTCTCACCATCCATGAGGTGTGAATTGTTGTGATCCCAGTTTAAAAATAAGGGTTTCATATCAGAGCAAGCATTCTTTGGGCACAAAGAATGGTAACCCTCAGCAAGCTAAAACTGACAGCACTGCCCAGGAGTCCAGGATTTGGCTGGTTCACTGTGTTTTAGCCTATGCGCCTAAAGCCCTGGATGTGTGCTGTCTCTGTGATCTCAGGAAAGTTCCCAAATATTTTTTAAACTTAGTTTTCCTAAAACAGATAGCCCCTTCCTCCCTGGGCAGTATTATATCTCAGGAGATGATTCCTGAGGTAAAACTGTGAGTTGCCCCTCAAAGGTGAAGCCACCTTCATTTGGGAGGTGAAATATGCTTGTCCTCAGACACATTGCACTCTCAACTTTTTGAGGGCAAACCTTGCACTGCTTGGAACGATGGGTAGTTTCTCTGCGGTCTGTGCCAGGGAATATGCACCTGGAGAGGGAGACCTAGGAGCTCAACTTCCTGAGTATTGGGCACATTAGATTCCTTTTCTGTAAATGGGTGTGATTCTGTAATTTGCCCCTAAAGTTGTCCTGGGGATTCATAGAAATACTGAGATTTTGGTACAATACCTGGAACTCATTGTTAAACACCTATTAAATGCTGAGTATTACTGTTAATGTCATTATTATTATAGTCAAACCTTGAACCATTTTTTGAGTGTTTGACACATTGGTGTTTGGCTGCGTACAATCTCATCTCAATCATATTGTTGAAGACAGCATCTGCCATGCTAGTGATTATTGGTTAGAGACTGATAGAAGTTTATTTCCTCAGCTGTTCCCTGTGGAAGGTGGCTGAGACAGATCTCTGGTTAAAATCTAAAATTTCACTATGTAATCACAGGGGTGGGAGGAGGCATTTGAAACTGCCAGAATGTTCTAGAAACTTTCCTTGAAAACTCAGGGGTTTTTTTCTGTCCTTCACTTTAGGTTGATAAGCACGTTGACGCAAGTTGCCTTTTACATAGCTGCTGCCATGGCCAGCTGGTAGGACCAGAGTTCCATGCCCAGAAGCCAGGTGAGTGCTTGGGTTCTAGTATCTGTGTAATGAAGGCTCTGACTCATTTAGCTCTTTGAACATTTGAAACTGAGTGCTGCTTCAGAAGCTGATGGCCACGCTTAGAGGAAATGGAAGAAGTCAAATCCTCTCTACAGGATTGTGTGATAAGACTGTCTCCAACGGGCTACCCAGACTCTGCTGGGCTCCATTTGCTCTCCTCTCATGTCTCAGGGATCACTCACTTGAAAAGCCCTAGCCTAGCCGAAACCGGTTTGGCTCAGTGGTAGAGCGTTGGTCTGCAGACTGAAAGGTTCCAGGTTCGATTCCGGTCAAGGGCATTGCTGGCACATCTCCAGTAGGGGGTGTGCAAGAGGCAGCTGGTCGATGTTTCCCTCATCAATGTTTCTAGCTCTCTTTCTCTCTCCCTTCCTCTCTGTAAAAAATCAATAAAATATATTATGAAAAAAAAAAGAAAGAAAAGAAAAGCCCTGGTCTAAATAAGATGAGAACCGATCCTCTGTGAGGATCAGAGGCCAAGGATAATCCTGGCCAGGTGTCCTTGGCCCTCTGGCCATTTCTGATTTCCCAATGCTGACCAAAACTGGTAGAATTTTCCCTTAACCATAGTTAGCAGTGCAGGGCCTTGTACTATGCTTGGAGCTGGTTGCCCTTATCTTGCTTTATGTCTGTAGGGAAACTGAGCCACCACCACCACCACCACCACCACCGCATCCCACCCCCACCCCCACCCCCCCTGCTTAGAACTGTCAAGTGCAGGCTGTGTCAAGGACTCTCAGGACCCAGCAGACAGACCTTGCTGCCATTCAGGTGGGATTTTTGTCTGTTGCTATCAGGGCCTGGCCGGCAACATTTTGGCCTAAGGCTGCCTATCTGCAGAAGAATGTAGAACCCAGCGTTATCATAGAACTTGGAGGCAGTGTGGAGACCTCCTGGGTCAGTCAACTGCTTCCTCATAGTCCAGCTGGCAGGTGACTTAACAAGGGTACATGTCCTAACTTGCATCATAGCTGCTCAGATTGCCTGCTGGGCTGAGTGTGTTATTTGACAAGGGTGTAGGGATCATGTTTTTTTTTTTTTTTAAATATATTTTATTGATTTTTTTTTTTTTTTTTTTTTTTATTACAGGGAGGAAGAGAGAAGGATAGAGAGTTAGAAACATCAATGAGAGAATCATTGATCAGCTGCCTCCTGCACATCCCCTACTGGGGATGTGCCCACAGCCAATGTACATACCCTTGACCGAAATCGAACCTGGGACTTTTCAGTCCGTAGGCCAGTGCTCTATCCACTGAGCAAAACCGGTTTTGGCAGGGGTCAGGTTTTTTTTGTTTTTGTTTTTTTAGGGGTCAGTTTTGTTAGGTTTCAGCTTTTATCTGCCTGTAGCAAGAAAATATGGGCATGGTCAAGTAGTCCTTGTGTCAGGAGAACATTTACAGAATATTTTTCTTCTTTTTTTTAAATTTAAAATTGATTTTAGAGAAAGAGAAAGAGAGAAAAACATTGATTTGTTGTTCCATTTATTTATGCATTCATTGGTTGATTCTTCTATGTGCCCTGACTGGGGAAGGAACCATAACCTTGGTGTATTGGGACAGTGCTCTAACCAACTGAGCTACTTAGCCAACGGCCAGAATATTCTAAAAAAAACCAACAAATTTTACTGGTGTTTAAAAGAATTTTTAAAATTGAAATATAATGTTCATACCATATAACTCACTAATTATATATTTCAGTGATTTTTAATTTGGGGGGGGTGATATTCAGGAATGGTGCAACCATTACCTCTCTCTGATTCCAGACCACGTTTATCACCTCAAAAAGAAACCATATCCACATTAGCAGTCATTCTCCATTCCCCTCTCCCAACCATTAATCTGGTAATCACTAATCTACTTTCTGTGTCTGTGGATTTGCCTGTGCTCTACATTTCATATCAACAAAACTATATAACATATGACCTTCTGTGTTTGATTTTTCTTACTCTGTGTAATTTTTTTGAAGTTCATTCACTTTGTAGCATGAATCTCACCTTATCCGTTTTTATGGCTGTGTGATATTCCATTGCAGAGATAGATCATGTTTTATTTACCTGTTCATCTGAGATGAATTTGGGCTGTTTTCACTTTTTGGCAATTTGTGAATATTCAGTCAAAGGCCTGGCCTCTGGTTGTGATGAGCGCAGAAGGCAACCAATCTACGTGTCTCTGTCACATCGATATTTCTCTGTTTTCCCCTCTCTTCCACTTTCTCTAAAAATCAATAGAAAAATAATCCTTGGGTGAGGATTAAAAAATTTTAAAAAGAACATTTGTGTATGCAATTGTGCTGGGTGCTCAGGATCAAAATTGGGTGTGACTTACAGAAAAATAGTTCACAGGAAGAGTAATGCAGATGTCTCTTAACCAACCAAGGTATGGAAAATACTTCTCTGATAACTAACAATGGTTGTTGGAGCTTCATCAAAACATTTCTGACCTTTTCCCACAGAGGTGGACTCCGTTCTATTGGTGGGAATCACACTCCACCATACATTGTTTTTGGGGGTTTATAACTCCTCTGAATGGGAATTGCTTACCCTTTGGTCCAGCAATTCTACCTCTATAAATTTATCTCAAAGATACACTGTTAAAAAGATATTTTTTAAAAAGGATTGTGAAAGGGCTATTCATTATAACATTCTGAAGTAACAAAACTGGAAATGACTTAGATGTTTGTTAGTTGGGGCTGGGGACTGATAAGTGGCCCTTAGCTCTTGGTAAGGAAGGATGAGATCTACATGTCATGGTGACGGAATATTAAGAGTGAAGTGACAACTGGAAAAAAGAACAAGGTAAAGGATAAAGAGATGTAGTGTATTCACTTTTATCCAATGAAAGGTGGGGGATATGGATGTATGTGTATTTAATTATATTTAATTTTTTAAAAGTGGAATTATAACCTACTAGAGGTTGAATTTATGAACCAGTGGGGTTCCTCAGACTGGCCTGCGGGATTGGACCGAAACCGGCTCTCTGACATCCCCCAAGAGGTCCCGGATTGCAAGAGGGTTCAGGCCAGGCTGAGGGTTCCCACTGGTACACGATCAGGGCCAGGGAGGGATACGGGAGAGTTCCAGGTTGTGTCCAACCCATCTCACTCAGTCACAACCGGCTGAACCCTAGCAGCAAGCTTACCTACTGGGTGGAGCATCTGCTCCCTGGTGGTCAGTGCATGTCATAGGGAGTGGTTGAGTGGCATATCATTAGCATGACTGGACGACTGGACACTTAGCATATTAGGCTTTTATTATATAGGATAGGTGAACCAAATGGTCACCCCTGAGGAGGAATAAGAGAGGACAGGGGTACTGGGAGTTTTTTCTGTGTAATTCTGGTTGTGTTTTTATATTATTCTATATAATAAAAGGCTAATATGCAAATAGACAGAATAACAGAACTATTGGTCGCTATGATGTGCACTCACCACGAGGAGCCGTGTGCAAAACATGGTGGGCATTGGCTGAGGTGGGTTGGAGGAACAGGTGAGTGGGGGCACCAGACCAAGGTGGGTGCCAGTGGCTGTCATGGGGGCAAGCCTCTGGTGGTTACTGAAAATTCTTTGCTCCCATGTGCTGCAGTCCTGGCGCTTGCACCTGCTGCTAGCGCTGGCCCTGTTCACCCCCGCTGTTGGTGGCGGAGCCATCGCTCGCACCCACTGCCAGTGCCCGGTGCCAGTTCCGATCGCTTGGCACCATCAGAAGGTACAAACAGTGGCTGCCGGCCCTGATCACCCCTGAGGACTTCACCTCCCCCTGCTCCTGAGGGGCAATCAGGACAGCAGCTGCCATTCACACCCACAGCTGGCACTGGCCCCAGCCCCTCAGTGCAACAGCAGGTTTGAGCCAAGTGGGGCCTGCGTGTTGGAGCAGCAGCAGCGTGAGCGGGGCTGCTAGCAGAGGGGACCTGGGCCAGGTGGGAGCATGGAGGATGGGCCAAGACCCGTCCATGTGCCTACCACAGCCTTGCAGCCCACAGATCCTTTTAAGGTGGGCCTCTAGTTATAAAACTATGTCAAAGGGCTGGTGGCAATCCTTAAAAAAAAACCAATGGAAAATGAAATAAATTAATCTAGGTTCATGTATTTATATAACTTTTAAATACAATAGTTTGACTAAATATTTTAGTGAGGTACAGCATAAAGGCAAAATGAAAATTTTTTTAATTTTTAACTGTCTTTAGAAATCATATTTTTGATTTCAGATTAACACTTCCAATAGTCTCAGTATTATATGTTATAGAAGAAAATAAGTCATTGATGTCTTTAAGAACCAAAAATTTCAGCATGAAATAAAAGTGTAAATATAAAATCAAGCATTTAGGTTAAAATGGTTTAATTCTGAATCTGCTTTGGAATATCCCTGTTGCATCAGACAGTAATGGGGTTGTGCCAGAATGACCAAGAGGGCCCCCAATGGTCAAGGGTGGGGCAGGTGAGCAGGAGAGAGAACAAGGAGTCCCTGAATTGCTGCATCAAAGGGGTAAAAAAAAAAATTAAAAAATCCATGTTTATGTTGGCAAGCAAAGAAAAGGAAGACACTTGCCAGTAGGGAATCAGCTCATTTTGAAAATTGGTAGAGGGAAAGAAGCAAGCATATTTACTTTTTATATGTGAAATAGTGGGTGAGGTCAACCTTCCCTCACAACTCAGTGCTGTCCCACAGAATTTTCTGGAATGCTCTGAATCCATACCTGTATTAGTTTGAGGAAGTCAAGTTTTAATTTAATTTAATTAATTTAATTTAATTTAATTTAATTTAAGTTAAATTGCTTTAAATGGCCTCATCTGGCTGATGGACAACACAACTATTAATATATTTTGGCTAATTTGTGGAATTATGAATTATAAGTTTTCAGACACCTAATGAAATGGTGGGTCCCAACAGCGAGCATCCCCAGTGGCCAGCCCCCAAGGAGGGCATGCATGCTTAGTTAGGCCTCAAAACCTGGTTTTTGAGAAAT